TGGGGGGGACATGTGCTCCCCCTGAGATTGGCCCTCACCAGCCGGGGAGAAGGAAGTGCCAGTCAGTGCCCCCCCTGAGAAGCTCTGGCAGCACTTCTGGCTTTGCTGCTAGCGCTTCTGGGGTCAGCAGTTGGCCACTGGGGGACTCCCCCCCAGTCAGTGATTGGCTGCTGGGGGACCCTCCCGCTGGTTGGCAATCAGCCACTGGTGTGCCCCAGAATCAGGAGGCACCAGTCTCCCATGCACACTGCTGCCATTTTCTCAGCTCTGACACACATTTGGTCACTTATACAACTGCACTCAGCACAGCGCAGCTCACCTCAGCTCACACGCGGAGCAGACCTCTGGCACATTGTGGGACAGAAAAGTATGTGTATAAATGCCCCAGGATAATTAGTTCCTGCACCCTCAGAAAGGTTATTTTAAAATACAGCCAGATCTCCTGGACTTCTTTTCCCCTCAGATTCACCTCCCAGGGTATCCTGCCCATAAGTTCACTGAGGCAGTCAAAATTCCCCAGGGAGGGCAGGCAAGACTATGCTTTGATAGACAGATGATGGCTTTTGTTAATGAAATTCAAGGTTAATTGGCACTGTCCAAGTCTCAGCAGGGGAAATGTGTCTGTGACAGACTATGGCATTGTTTGTAATATTTCTGGGTTGAATGTTATCATGACAGTGTTGCATATCTTAGTTTTCCTGATACACAAGGAACACATGGGTTAATGGCATTTCAAAGAGACCTGCAATGTTGGCCTAAGTGCTCTTTTAGAGAAAAATGGGCCATGAAGCAAAAATGCAACAATTTACCTATGTTAACACACCAAGTGAAATCCACTCCCTGTATCTGAAAAGACTCGCATATTCTTTTGATTTCAAGAATCACTTTAGAGAAGTGCTATGCAACAAAGCTTTATTCAAGTGGGGGACTCCCTGACAGAGGCCAGACAGAAGAGAAAGGCAGAAGGAGAAGGAGAAGACACAGAGATGTTGAATACAGAAAAGCAAGGGTGTTGTTCATGACAGAGACTGCCTGGAGTATGGGGCTATAAGAGGCTATAAATGGTTGGGGTTCCAAACAAGTGTTCCCCATGTCAATCTGTGACAGTGACCACATCTAAAGAATTATCTAGAATCCCAGCTTAATCCACCTGAGATACTTGCATCCTCTGCTAACTTCCTTTTTCTTCACATAGGTGTATTTCTAGGACCAATTACACTGTATAGAACCAGAACAAGAGGAAGAGATGGCTATCCAGCCATACAGAGTATACCTTTAGTGTCTATCTGTCACTATTAATGTTGTCTAATGATTACACTCAATAGGAAACTGGGAAGGTTTTTTTTTGTTTTTTTGTTTTGTTTTTAATATACACACACAACAAATACAGGCATACACATATCCATGTTTATGGGTTTTTTTTTTCTATTCTCTAAGTCAGGGGTTGTCAAACAGGGGTATGTGTACCCCTGGGGGTACTTTGAAAGATCTCAGGTGGTATGAGGGCAGGAATGGAGCATTGCCACACCGTGCCACTGTCTCACAGGAGCAGGGCCGGGGTGGGGCAAGAGCAGGGCCACACAGATGTCACACTGCCACCACTCCGCCGCTCACTCTGCTGCTCATCACATCACTGCTTGGCATCTGGCTGCTGCTCACCACCCCTCACCCCACTTGGCGTCCGGATGCTCACCACACCTCCCCCCGCCAGGGGTTACACTTACTAAAAAGGGGGCCGCCAGGGTTACACTTATTAAAAAAGGCTGAAAACCCCTGTTTTAAGTAGTTAGGCTTGCAATATGATAAAGGATGATCCCTTTTCACCACCTTAATGTAAAACATATATATAAGAATGAAATACATATATATATATATATATATATATATATATATATATGGTGAATAGATGTCAAAGGTCTGGATAACTCAGTTTTTTGCACCAGATTTTTAATCAAATATTATGGAGATAAGTGTTAATTGGAAAAAAAAAGGAGAAAAAATAAGTAATTAAGAGGTAAGTTAGTTAATGTGTTATATT